GGAAAAAGGTACTGCAGAAAAAGAAAACCGACGAGAGGTTTCGATTGCAATCCACTCTTCTAAGCATTGACACACTCCATTTTAGACTAAAAATCTAACAAAAGCAAAATCTGAATTAAGTTATCATTCCTACCCCCTCCCCCTCAAAATAGGCAAGGGGCACCCTATTTGCCAATGACATGGTTGAAATCATTGTCCCTGTTTTTAGGGGTTGACTCATGCTGGCATTATTCCAAGCAAAGTAGTACAGGTGGAGCATCAAGCATAATGCTGGCATAATAGAACCCTAGATTTAGCCACGCCTAAAGGCGCAGCTGCTAGGCCAGGTTGCTCAAAGCCCGATTAAGCTAACCCAAGATAAGCGAGAATTTTGATTTGAGTTTCGTAACTTCATAGTGAGGTTTTCTGTTTATGTTCTTTGGCCTTCTGTTCTGAGTTTGGGCAATCTCAAACGTTACAAAACAAAAGCAGGGAAAACCATTTTTTTACAAGAAATGTTTACACTTAACTTTTCACCTGGAGCTCCACTAGTAACTTTCCAACTTCACTTTACTTTTCATCCTTAAGGTCAATTGTTTACAGTGTATTACTGATTTTTGTGCTGAAATGTTGCAATCTTTTGTGTGGGTGCTGTCTCAATTTGATTATTATATAAGTTGTATGCACATTTGTGTTAGTAATAAGATGAAAATCATGTTTGCTTTGCAGGAAGGAGGGGGTTGGATAAAAAAGAAACAAGCATAATAGCGACAGTCAAGAATAATTAGGAGCATAATAGTCTGTTTTGGGGGTTGACGCTAAAATGCATTATGCTTGATTTTAGGAGCAGAGTACCCTGGTTTGGTCTGGTATACATCTGTCTATTTACCACCTAGAAGGGCATGTACAGTGTGTGTATGGTGTGCAGTTTGAAATGCCCACGGGCAGCTATGATAACTCGTTAGCTGTTTTAATTAAAAAGTACAAATGAGCTAAAAGATCCTGGTATCTTTTAGGACTAACAATTTTCCATCAGATTACCCCCAGCCCTTCCCTCTTCACTGGCCTCCTGGGGTATCGGCTTAAAGGAGCTCAGTAATTTGGTCAGTTGTAGAAAATAACATTTAAACTGAAGGCAACCTGGAAATACGCTGTCAGTAGTAGTTTAAGTACCAAGATGGAAAAACACCAAAAAGATAATAATAAACCATAAAGGAACAAGGATGGTTAAGGTTGGAGAAGATTACCATGGATCACAAATGACAAACTTGAAAATTTATGTGATGTAGCTCCTTTAAGAACAAAACTTAGATGTTCAGTCTCTAACAGAGACAAGAAGCCCAGGTTAGTTGTTGCTGCAATTTGATCAAATAATATTTCACATGGTCTTCAATATTCAATATCGTTGTATTCCACATTTTAACAGTCGAGAGTCTTTGCTGGCCAGCCATGATGAAAAAAGTCAGGACACTTCGTTGTTCATAAATAACATCTTTCCCCTGTGACTATAAGTGTAGAAAGATGGTCGGTTGCCAAGGGATTCCCAGCTCCTTTAAAGAACAACATACATAGCGCAAGTTATATGTGTATTGCATAAGTTCTATAAAAAAGAAATCTTATTGTGTGGGTCCAGAAAATATCTATACCCATGTCAAGGATGGTCATTAGAAATTCCAAGAGATGGGGGGTCTCAATAGCTAAAGAGAAAGTGTGAAGTTAAGCTGGAAATTCCAAGGGGGAGGGGGAGTACAAACCAAAAAAGCTATTCTTGGTGGAGGAATGGATATTCTCTGGAACTTCACATCACATATGCAATAAATTAGTTCAGATGAATGATTTAAATTTAAATTTAAACAGGTCTTTTTACTATATTGTTCTTTACAGAACTATCACCAACCCAAAAGATCAAACTATTAATTAAACACAATATCCATACTTACTTGTTTGCCATTTCTGCTGCAGCTCGGATTTCTTTAAATTCACCAGCCATTCTAGCCACACCGAAGCATCCTATTAACAATCCTATGATGCACTGAATACACACCTACAAAGATGATGCAGATACTGTGTTGAACTCATACATTTTCTGTTTTACATAGACCCTAAGTTAGTGCAAACAGACTAGCTGGATGTACAGGTAGGGTTGCAGTATAGCCTATGGACAAGTTAGGGTTAGCGTAGGTTTGTAAAACTTGAGCATTAAGGATTAAAGGATGTGAAAGTTAGTTTTATCAGAGTGTAATGATACAACTACACTGTACATGTATAAATATTGGAGTATGCACCATGTGATCAAAATTTTAAAAACATTTAATCTTTCCCTAAGTAAGATGGACCCAATCAGGAGTGGTTCACAAGCTGTCTGCTTTAGAAGAGAGTTATCTACAGTTAAATTGCAGCAAAACAAGTGTCAAATTCAGCCACAGTCAGCAAAAGAGCCACGTCAACCTCAGAGAAGTGTCCACATTAACGGAGTGGCCACCTTATTAAAGTGACAACCCTATGGTTCTAAGGGAAGTGTCCACATTACACTGGTGCCCATTTTAAGAGTGCTGATTGTTTATGGCCTAAAGATATACAATGTATTATTAGTTTTCAACATCAACTTACATCAGGAGGAAGACCAGGAAATTCTTCTTCTAGCAGCTTGTAGTAAGTCCGACCTTTACATAAGCAAACAAATTGTTGGCAACAACAGTAAATACACAAGTACATGTATGTGTAAACAAATTATACCCTCAAAGTGTTCCAGAGAGAAGAGAAATCTCGGGTCAAAATCTTAATTATCTGGACAAATCAGTGGGAAGCCTCGACAAGCCTTGATTTGACAAGTTCCTTACAGAGCTCGAAAAAAAACTTGACACTACTTTAGCTGGGAGACAACTTTTCTGATTTCTTGCCCATTTGGCAAGTGAGAATAAAAAAAGTTACTTGCCCATCAGGCAAATCTACTTGCCCTGGACGACCTGATGGCACTTTTTTTGAGCTCTGCATTATCTACTGGCCCATTACAATTCCTCATTGGCACCATTTATTTACAACGTAACAGAAATCCTACAGTTAACTTTGCAATTGATGTCATTAATGTGATATTTTAACAGTTTTCTTCTTTTGCTTTCTTTTCTTATACCCTGCCTGTCATGCCCGTGATCTGATCATGCTTATCATCAAAGCAGTGTTTGCCATCAGCTACATGCATTTAGAGAATAACCCTGAGAAAATATGTGCACTGATTAACTAGAACCAGCAAGAGCCTTGACGTTATGATGGAATGAGTAAAGAGAATTTACATTTTAATGATCAAGGTGAACAAGTTGTTTTCTGCTTATTTTCAACACAGGATTTTCTAAAAGAAATAGACACACCTCTGTATTTCCATCGAATTATAAAAACACTTGTGGAAACACTTTCCGCTCGTGTACCCACAGCACTTGTTTCTACAACTGGATGGAAACACGGAACATGTTTCATATATTTCTTTAATGTAGCATGCTAAAGATTGCAGTTCATAATTTTACAAAGTAGAGGTGCATGAAAATATATATAATTATTTTTGCTCATCTTTGCTGCAGGATGATATAGTACATGTTTAGTTATGAAATTTTTCCTTCCCCTGTTCCCCAAAATACAAAAACCAACATTTTAATCATTATCGTCAGCTAAAGCACGTGTTTTATATAACAAGTGCTGGTGACATTAAATTATCAATAGCAAGCTTTACGAGCTGATATCTGAGAGGACCGTTACATAATAAATAAAAGGAGAATTTTACAAAGAATTCTTAGTTTAAAAGGAATCACCTTGTAACCGAAATGCAGTTTTACATTCGTTAGCATTTTTCAAGTCTTAACTTTATATGTAGCCCAGCGCAAGTGAATCGTATACTTACATTGAACTGCTGAATATCCGGCGTGTAATATAGCAGCCAAACCAAAGAAGACTAAAATCCGACCGATGATCACCATGTTAGATACATTTACAGCACTCTACCGAGTCGAGAAAAACTCTAATCGATGTCGGCCATTTCTTCTCTCTCGTTTTCAGAACATGGTCATGTAACCGGTCATGTAACGTCCTTGGATTGAGAGCTACCGCTGGAATCCAAGATGGCTCCTCCTCGCGTTCCGCCGTCCCGAAAGAAAGACGATTTAAAAGATGATGCAGCTACGGATGATGGAGATTTCTTTCAATTCGCTTCATTACCACTCTCAATTGCCATAGTAATTCTATTGATTTTTTACTGGGTAAGTGTCAAAGATGTTCAAGGTCGTTGATCGAACTTGTAGGAACTTGTTAGCTTGTCGCGGCCTGCACACCTCATGAGGGATCAGTGCATAATGTTGCTGGTAATATTGTTATCATGGAATATCAATTGAACAGGCTGTGTGTTTAGCCTGTCTTGAATAAAAATGTAAAAGTGGATACTTCATTTAAGACAAAATTACTCTTTATTCATAGTAATTCCACTGATTCCATTTGACTCCCTCGAGGCTCGAGTTTACAATGTAAGACGTGCACACTTTGTTTGACTAACTTTTCATATAACTTTCTTTTTTGTTGGGGGGTGGGGGGACGTTAATGGCTGTTTATGAACTGCAGATGCTATTCAAGAACTCACTCACGTCATTTTCATGTAAATTATCTTGCAGTTTGTTTGCTACGATATAGATGCTATACCTTTGCATGTCCTGGGACCCTTTGGACAGTTTGTGTCATATTTGGCAAGCAATCATTTAAAAGAACTGAGACTTGGGTGAGTGTGATGTACACGTCTGGAATCATCTGTACCAAAGGCATCCACGGTTGAGTGTTGATCAATACTCTAGATCAATACCCTTGATCAACATCTTGAACACACTTGATCAACAGTTGGTCGATAGTCGGCCGAGAGTCGACAGACTCGTACATCAATCAAAAGTTAGTCAACTCTCAACCAACTGTCGACTGAGATGTTGATGGACTGTGTCAATCAAGTATCGATGTAGTGTAAATCAAGTGTTGATTGAGAGTATTGGTCGAGGGTATTGATCAACACTCGACCGTGGATGCCTTTAGTACACATGATCCTACAAGTACGGTCCACATGTATACTGTGGACTGTAATGATTTGATTTTAAATTTAGCCGTCTCCTTCCATTTCNTTAACACAGTTTTGTTGATGAAGTTCAAAGTTTCAGTTATAAGTTAGACACCACTCTTGAATATGGTATTCCTTTATTAACATAGACATAGTTGCCAGCTAATCACTAATACATGACCATTAATTTTGACAATCCCACAAACTACATGTAGTTGCAAACATCTAACTGATCGTCATTTCACTCCAGAAAATAATTTAATGCGAGATAAATAAAACAAACACACAGCCTGAATAGGCATCCTTTCTCTGAAAGCCAACCTCCATATTTATACCGGTAATGCTTAGACTGCGAGCAGTCTCTCTTTTCCTTGAAAATCCTTGGGGAAGAATGCAAAACAAGTGAGTATGCAAGCATGACTTGTGAGTGGTGAGCGGCGAGGCAAGGCGATGCCCACACTACTTGCAGCTTGTGGCTTCGCTTATCGCTTGCATGCTCATGACTGCTCGCTTGTGTTGGGTTCTTCCTTGCGTTCTTCCCTACAGATTTTCGAGCAAAAAAAGAGGCTACTTGCAGTCTATTCAATGCTGTGCCATACACATACTAAAAAAACAAAAGAAAAATCATAGAGCTCCTAAACAAGTGTGGCATTGGACCTTCATCATAGAATCCTAGCTATGCTATAGTATGCCAAACATACCATTGCATGTACAGTTACGTTGAGTGTGGTACAAGTATGACAAGTGAATAAGTTTACATTAAACTCAATCACTGTGTCTCTTTCTGTCTAGTTTTAGATTTACACTGATGGTCCATATCCTGGAAGCTGGCTTTGCTTACAGAATAAGCAGGTATAATTTGGTCCTTAAAGTCCGAACTGTTCTTCACATTATGCCAAATGTTACTTTTTTCCCCCACATTTTAATTTCCATTATTAACTACAAAGTATGTACAGCACTATTATTAAGTGTCAATAACATAATTACATTGGGTACAAACTTTGATAATAATATAATTATTTGAACTATAGCATAACAGATTATAGTTTACTATAAATGAATAATTTCCATCTGGCCTGAAATTTCCTTTGAGAGTTGTTTTTTAAGGCTATGTACTTTTCAGTCTTACATTTGATATTAATCATTTCTTTAAAACAGTAATATTTGGGCTGAGACTTTGTTTATGGCTCGTCCCGATATTCCATTTTGCAATAATTATAAAGTAATTTAGTAATTCACTTACTTTGCCTAATTTGCCTATCAAAACATCCTGCAATTCAACATGTTTACCAGAAAGTGCAAACCAAAAATTTTTGAAATCTTTCCAAAACTGCTTAGTATGAGAACATTCATAAAAATAGATGATTAACAGTTTCTGAGCTAACTTTACAAAATGTGCAAGAATCGTCTTGAACATAACCTATTTTGGCTAGACTAGAATTAGTGAAAGTGATATTATTTAAGATTTGAATTGGAAACTTCTGGTAAACATTTCAGATGAGACAGTCTTCACTTTTATGAGTGCTTTAGTAACAGCTGAATCTGCAAAACCAAAGTCCTCTTTCAGTTAAGCAAAGCCCCTTGAGACTCTTGCCTTACCCAAAACAAGCAATTCATAAAAGTGTTTATTTTTATATACAGTAGGATTAAATTTTTTCTCCCCACAGTGAAATTCCAAAGAGCTTTCTAGTTCACTTTCGGTCACATCCAAATCCTTCAGGTGGGCATGAACAGCAGTGCGAACTCCTGCCAGACTAAAAAATTTGTATGCTTCAAACCTTTACTTTTAGCACTATTATATTGTAAGATTCTATATTGTTCTTATTGAATTGCAAGTGGTTAAGCAGAATTATTATATGGCTGTGTCTCACAAGGACTGGGAACTACCGAATTCACGAATTTGATTGGCTGAGATCGATATTGACCACGGTCTAGATTTTCCCATCTAGACCAGCATCTCGACCGATTACATTTTGCCGTGAAAAAGTTGCAAACTAAATAAAAAAAATATTGACTATTTTCTTCCAAAATATTAGTTCCAGAAAATATCCATATTATGGAAGTGCGAAGCCTGATGAGGAAAAAAAAAGTAAAGAGTACGAGTTTGTAGAATTAAGTTCATCTCATCGTCATTCGCAAGCGAAATGTCAGCTAGTACAAACCAGTTACATTAAATGAATTAATTTTTTCTTGTTTGCCATATAATAAACATTTTACATGTATTAACCGAGCTTAGTCGATCTGTATGTGAGAATCTTGACCTTGGTCATGTGTACAGACCTCACTGGTCTGCATTCGGTCTGTACTCCCGACCTCGGTCAAGATTCTCCCATACAGACCTCCTGCTCAGTTAATAAGAGCTAATACCTGCTTCAATATAATTTGAATAATATATTGTTTTCTTATCTATCTCAATATCTTTGTTGTTCCGAATTATATTATAAGATATAGATGGCTTTGTTGAAAAGGCAATTCTTAAGTCAGCCCACCACTGGAGAGGTTCTCTGTAAAAAGTGGAATTAATTTTACAGTCTTTGACATTGTAATAACAACTAAATAGAAAAACCCCGCCAAAAGTCTTCTAAAAAAATTCTACCAAGCCAAGCTAATCTTGACGACTTAACATACATTTCAAGATCTATTAAGTCCAAGCCTCCATATTTCGGGTCATTTACAGCTGCCATTCTAGCTATTTTATCTGTCCCTTTCTATAAAAAATTATAAATAATAGCATTTAATTGTTTTATAAATTCTTCTAGAGTTGTTAGTACTAAGAACACATATAACACATGCCAAATGTTACTTAATGAGAGTACATTTGTCTTTAAAAAGGTTGTAGTTGTTCATCGTGTTGATTAGTACATTTGTGAAATTCATTTGCACTTGTTCCTGTGAGTGTGTTCAACAATCTTGAGTTGATGTCAATTGAATTAACCGCCGCCTGGTTAGCTCAGTTGACAGAGCACCAGACTGCTGTGCGGGAGGCCGCTGGTTCGAGCCCCAAACTGGACCAATACTCAGGGTCATACAGTGGGGGATGTGGGGGATCTAGGGGAGGGGCCTGGGTCCCCCCTTATTTTGGATGAAAAAAAGAAGAAATGACTGAAGGAAGAAAAGCCGGCAGGGCAAGTAAAACAAAACCGACCCCCCCCCTTTAGCTCAAAGTCTGGATCCGCCACTGTCCTAAAATAACTGAGGAAACTGGACTACCTTTTCAATGACATCTGCAAGTGGTTAGACATTCAAGTGTTCTCTGATAAGGACTATAAAACCGTATGCCCCGTCTTCTGCATCTTCAGTGTTGCATGGTTAGCAGGGGACGTTGAAGAACCGACACACTTATCGCA